GTTCAGTGAAAAAATTAAAATGGATTTTTTAACTTTTTTCCCAGAAAAAACGTCTTGGACTGATGTAATACCATTTCTTAACATAGATTCTTTCGGCGGACATAAGCATGAAGTGGTGTAAAATAATTTTTCACTCCCTCATGAGACAACACATTGACATCCGTCTTGCAGCCCGTTATCCCTCTACAGGACGTCTTGTATCAGTATCCAGTGGCTATTCTACATTCAAGCTTTGATATAAATCAACAATGGAGTGGTGTAAAATGATATTTCACCCCTCTCAAAAATTGACAATTTCCATCTTATATTACAACCCCAAAACCCCCATGAAAATGTCTTGCATGTGTTAATCCAATTTTGTTTATGTACAAATTAACTCAATAAATAAATGCAAGACGGTGTATAATTAAATATTTTCCTCGTTTATGATGACATTTTCTGAAACATTTTTTTCAGCGAAATCCCCCACTCCTATCTATTTCCCTGCACAAGTGCGTTTCAGTACCATGTTATCTAACTGATGATAACAATGCAAGACGGTGTAAAATGATTTGATGAAATAGGCCTCGTATCCCGTACTACAATTTATGTTGGCTCAACAATGGCTCAACTTCGCTTTACACCAGATCAGCTTGTTGACAACACAAACGACAAAAAACAATTCTACCAACTTAACCAGAATTTCAAGGTTATGTACTTTTATTTATGGCTCACCCAGAAATATATTTGAAGATGTTTAATAATAAAACTAGAAGAAACTGAAGGTAGAAGAATAAACTGAACATCAACAAGTAAATGATAAATAAAAATAAATATCTTCACCTAGCTTTAATATTTTTAGAGTCATTTCTAGGTTGAAAGCCTGAATTGACACAAAAATTGACGGAAAAATAGAACATGCGCTAATCCGTCAATAAATTGAGCGAGATCTTGAACAATTGCTACCAATTTGGCGTTTTACATTATCAATATTTCTTGACAACCGACTTGATCAATAAATTGACCAATAAATTGTCAGTATAAAATCGTCTTAAGAGTTTTCGTCGGAGGAACGATATGACGAACTGTCAGAATCGTTTGACATGACACATCAAATAAATACCTAAAACTTGACGTAGAGAACTTAAGATAACTTAAAGCTGCTGGGATTTCTTTAGCTATGAGTTGGGCCCACAGGACAGAGAGGACCAAAAAATTTTAGTAAATCATTCGGAAGATTGCAAGACCAAAAATATCCAGTTCAAAATACACGGATTTAAACTAAAAGTCGGTGACGTATTTTATACCGCGCTTGAACTACAAGAAAAGGAGAGACAAGAACACTGATTTGATGCAAAGTGCGAAGAGACAACTGACGGTGGAAATACGGAACAAGAACGAGAACAAACCGGTGAAGAAACAAAGATAAGGAGGGTAAAGAGAAAACCACTGAAATCCAAAAACAAGTCCACTGAGTACCAGAAACGGGAAGAAGATAAACTGAAAAATTGAATAAATATTAATTGAAAAAATAAATAATTAAATTAAAAATAAAATTAAAATGATTGAGTAATCTTTAAAATTAAATATAAAAAATGAACATTAAACTAGCGGATACCTGTGCTATTACTAAAAAAATTAGTACCATTTGTTTATTTGTTGAAAAAAGCAAATTTTTAAAGACGGGGGTAGTCCTGACAACCTGCCCACCTCTTCATATGTCACATTTGACAGTTGAAATCTGTCAATTTTTTTCAACGTCTTATGGCGTTTCCGATTCTGAACACCGGGCACGCATATGACGTCGTCTTGTCATATTTTGACAGCTGATATTTGTCAAAAATTACATTTGACAGCTGTCGAGTATTTCAAATTGTATTATCACCCGAACTTGAAGTGTATGCAAAATTTCAGCAAAATCCGTTGCGAAGAAATGGTTCAAAAATCTACACTTGTCACAATTTGACAGTTGACACTTGTCATTAGTGACCTTCTTCTCATTATTGTCTTTCATATTAAACTGGTTTGGGGCACATCGGTCGGATGCTTTCAAAGTCTATAACGGACATAGAAACATTTTTTGTGTTTTATATATACACCGTGATTTACATAGCCGGTGCATTAGAAGTTGTCCAGTTTGCAGGTGAATTAGTAGAAATAGCATCTAATCCACCTGCAAGCTAATGCACGGGTTACGTAATTCACCCTGTATAGATATGCGAATATGTAGTAACTATAGAGTTAAGAAACTAGAAACAGATAATTTAATTAATAAATACCGGTATAGCATTGTAATTTGCTTTGTTTCAAATAAAATATTTTTTTCTACAAACGTGTTAAAAATGCAATTTTGAACACCCCCTCGAAGCATTATAGTTATTTATGTATCAAGGGAACTATGCAGGTGTTAATACCCCAGGGCAACGTTTGTGTCCCGAGGGCCTCCGGCCCGAGGGACACCAATTGCCCGTGGGTATTAACTCCTGATAATTCCCGTGGTACATAGATAATTTTATATCCTACTGAATTTACTGTATTCTGTCTATTTTTATAAATGAATAAGCCATAAATCAAAATTTCTATTTTTTGTCAAAGGGTTACCTATTCAAGGTAAAAGCGGGAGTTATGGAAATCCTTAACTCCCTTGGGAGTTATGATATCCTTAACTCCCTTCCTTAACTCCCTTGGGAGTTAAGACCCTGTTTATGATTATCGTAACCAAGGTATTATATGGTTTTAATAGTTCAGTAGGATATAAAAAATGTTACTTTATCGCACTAGTGCCATAAAGTCTTTATAGCACTAGTGTTAAAAATGAAACATCAAATTTTAAGAGCGAACGTCAAAAAAAGTTTGTATTTTAAGTTATTTACATTGGTATTAATGGTGAAATTTGAACAACTAAAGTAGCACGATTGGCAGCCTCATCTATATTTTCGAGTGATCGATGAAACCCTCTTTTTCTTCTGTATTTTCTTGCATTTTTAGCAAAAAGCATTACTGACCACGACAGACTTTCAAGAAACTGACAATACATTTCATTACCTGTAAAACAAGGTGCTGGTTGTTTGGATTTTTTGACAAATGTCAAATTCAATAATTTTATGTAGGAAAGATGCTTCCAATTTATTATTCATTTAAAAATCCAATTTGTTACTGGTTATTGCTTCTCATTGCCGTTTGTAGAAAAAATATTGTATGATATTTAGGTTAAAAGTATTTTTAAGGCACTTATGTGAATTGCAGAATTCGCTTCGCTCATTCTGCAAACTTTCACATGCGTGCCTTAAAAATGTACTTTTAACACTTATATCATAAATAACTATTGATTCGATTTGATCAATCATACCGAACATTTCCAAGATAGATAATTTATTATACTTACATCCATGATGATTTAGAAATAATGCGAGTCTTCGAGATTTCATACATTGTTAAAATATAAGACAGAAACAAATTTTTCAACTTTTAGATCTAACATTCAGCTCACACTTCAATATAATCATTGAATTAGTAGGTACCTATCTACTCTACGTCGATTCAGTAGCTCGTTTCTAACTCCATATATTGTAGCATCCGCATCAAGTAGTCAATTATTTCCTTGGGCAGTTACTGTAAAATGAAGTTGTGGGAGCGGGTCTATTTGCAAGAGAGAGAAACAACTGATTTATGATTATCCGTTAATAATTATGCTTTATTAATGAGAAAATAAACAGATTTTCATTTTCAAATTTACAATAGTACAAATTTTATAAATCCAACACCTTCACAAAAATAACCAATTCTAAATTGATACTAACGTACAGCCACCTTTACACTGTCTCTGAGCTTGTAAATAATATGTTGCAATCAAAAAGCCTTGTACTTTAATAAAACTTTCATATAGCCGTACTACATTAGGTACAATATTTTTAAACCAAAACACCTATTACACCTCAAAACAATGAACATTTTATCTAAATTCATTTAATTAGATAGAAACCAAAACATCTAACTAATCATTAACTAGACGGGACAATAACAGTCAATTTTAATTAAATTTCTCTATCTATACTAAGCACAAAAAAAAAAAAAAAAAATTCAAAGTCAATTCACTCAAGATATTAACATTTATGCAATAATGTTCCATAGTCAATTCACTTACATCATAGTCATTGCAACATTGATAAAATCAAAATAAAACTTGTCACTAGAGTACCTACTTACATTTAAATTATCGCCTTTAAATTCACTTAATTATTCTAATTATTATTTACTTCAAAATAGCTAGAGCACGCACATAATTACTGAAACGATTACTTTTTCCGATGCCCGACTTTGTATACTTGAGATAATTCGCCACTTCTGAATTTTAATTATTAAGAGATGAAGACATTCATCATACTATTAAATTATTGAGTCTTATTCTCGATAATTGATTCCTCTCTCTATTTACCCACCACAATCGACAACAGCGGCGGTCGTTTGACCATCTGTAAATTCAATTCTATTGGTCGACCTAGATATTATTCCAAAAAATATAACTTGCTCATCGGATGATGTCGAAATTGCTTGATTATTAGGGGTCAACGAAATGAATGGAGAGGACACTTAATTCAAGGAAAAGCCGCACTCGTGCCGGCAATAAATTATACGATCTTTTGAAATTTTTCTAATTTTGGGATCTAATTTAATTAGGTGGTACCTAACCTTGTATTTAATTTTTTCCGGGTTTTGATTTAGGAGTTCAACTAACTTGATGACACACGCCTGATGACTGGCTATTGAAAATTGAACGTATTTTAAATATTTTAATTAATTTGGGGTCAACGCCAATTTGTTTCATTCTCAATTTATTGATATCGATGTAAATTATTGGAGATTCAATTTGTGATTATTTGATTACATTCAATTTTTACTGTTGAGACATTGTAAATTACGGGTCTATTGTTCCCGGGTCATTACAATATCTATGGAATTTATTTGCATATTGACTCTTGTAGGCACCTACATATTATGTAAAGTTGTTTTGTCCTTTTCAGGAAAATTCCACATTGAAAGTACGAACAACAGCTCAAAAAAAGCCTCCAGGATTTCAAGCCGTTTTAGTTTGTTTAACTCCTTGGAGCAATGGCGAACCACCAAGTCACATTACGTCTTTAACAATAAATAGTTCATACGGATTGTAAGTACCTTAACTTAATTATAAGCACAATGTGGCAATATATTATTATTCAGATTGGCTTATGGAAATGAAGCCGGCCTTGTGATAGTAGACACTGAACAACGTGTTTGCCTGCTGAACGTTGGCAGTCCTGATTTGTACGGAGCTCAAGATCCTTACTCACGAGTGCCACGGAGTCCCAAAAAGAACCAACTCGGGCCTGATGGTTTGCCTTTGGAATTCGACAAACAACCGAGGAGTCCTAGTATCGATCAGGTCAGTGTGTAGTACTTTATTTTAATATAATTTTATGCCAAGAAGGCCATATTATGTAAAATTTTTATATCCTCACGATTTTCTTGTAGGTTATATAAATACAGTCCGCCAAAGCTTTATGAAGATTTTTATATTCTCTTTGCTTTAATAGTTTCCCTCGAACTTTGAATAGTAACTTTGAAATTATCCAGAAAGTTGTAGCGGAGTGGAATTACAGGCGAGCGCAGTGTTTTCTTTCAACACTAAACTTAATCCAGGGTGTCTCAGTTTTCAAATGGCAACTTCAAACTTCTCACAGTTGCAAAAATAAACTGATACACCCTGTGTTTTCCTCTAATAGCATCATTAATTTGTCTCAACAACCGACAATCGACAATTCCTCGATTAACCCACAAAAATCTGTGGCATAATTTTTTTTTAATTAGTTTTTGTAATTTTTCAGTTTTCTAAGCTAGAAAGCGGCACATTTTTTTAAGTTTGCAAATTTCCTGATAAGTTGCACTCGATAGCCTGGAAACAATTTTTATTTATTTATTTATTTATTTATTTATTTATTTATTTATTGGGGTAGATTAGAGAATACCTCCAATTCAACCAAGTATATATTCTCGAGGTAGTGTCCTGACTTACATGCATGTAGTAGTACCTTTTGCTAATAAAGTGAGTTTTTATTATTCAAAAATAAAATTCTCTACTCTGCTCATTTATTTATTAATTTACGTTTAATCATCAAAATCGCATTTCTGCCCCTTATATCTCCAAAATATAGATGGGCCGTTCTCCCGAGTCACCATTTTGTTTCGCCCCCTGTCCCACGCCAATAGAACAAGCTCAAGAAGCTATCGAAGACGACATACCGATTCCTATTCTTCAACTTGCAACCAGAAGAAAGTCGTCAACGTGGAAAGGGCTGAAGAGACAACTGAGCAAGGTGGACATTAAGCTTAAGAACCCTCTAAAGGAAAAACGACATAGCGTATTTTATTCGGGAGTATTGCCTGGAAACGATATTATTGATCACTTGGAGGAGGAACTGGAGAATTTCGGTTCACAGGATTCGGCAGAGGAAGTGACTGTGGTTAGTAGATAATAATTGAGTTGCTAATGTGGAACGTGTCTCTCAGAATACCTACTATAAAAAAAAGAGCTAAAATTGTCAAGCATCGAGTTTCTGGAAATTTTAATAAGTATACTTATCTATTTCTATAAACTTTTGCATTCAATGAATCAGTGAACTCAGTTCTACTCAACTGGAAGGGCCTCATTCATATTGCTAGAAAACTGGAATCCGATGAATGAACGCATTGTGTTAAATGATATTTCTTCGATGTTTGGAGTTTATCATCATCCTTAGGAGTTTATTTATTCCAGCTCCCAGCTCTCAGTTCTGGGTATGTGCCTCTGAAAAAAATCACGAGAGTTTTTTCGATGACCTATATATTGCAGCAAATTTTTGTAAATCCTGGAATCCTGGGTGGGAAAGAAGGTTTCTCTCGCCAATAATAAGAGCAATTATTAACCTAGAAGGCACGCTTTTTCTTTAATTTCAAGTACCAGTTTGGTACCAACACTTTCCGTTGGCTATTTTTCGAAGGCAAACTCTGCTCGTTCAGCTTGTCCTATTCTTCGTATCTTTTAAATTTTGACTTTCGACCTGAAAGGCTGATCCTGGCGTAGGGGCAGCCATCTTCCTAAGTCAATTATCGTTTACCGTTCTCGTGGAAAAAAGTACCTTATCGGCCATCAGGCACTAGTTTAACGAAATAAAGTTGCATAACAGAAAGTTCCGTTGATCACCGAAAAGTTTCAAATAATCAAATGTCTTGTGATTACCGTTTTTTTTTTTTTAAGTTTGAATTTCGAAGCCCCTCGTGGTAAGTTCTTGTTAATTTTTTAAAAAGGAATATGGTTGTTCATGATAGGCCTCTATTACTTAGGGTCTTCCAAGGAGCCCGTTTCTTCCAGGGAGCCCGTTTTTTTCCGAGGAGTTAGTTTCTTCCAAGGAGCCTGCTTCTTTCGAGGAGCCAGTTTTTTTCGAGGGGCCTGTTTCTTCCGAGGAGTCCGTTCCCAACATGCCCATATTTTTAAAGATCCCCATTTTCGTGGAGCTCCATTTTTCCATGCAGACTATTTGGCTGGAGCATGGGCATAGAGCTTTTGAAGGCATTTCCTAGAGGAATCAATTCCCTTACGTGTCGAAACTTGTCCCTCAACATTTGATGAAAACTGTGAATTTCTAGCCTCCATCTACCTTGATTCAAGGCTAAAAGCTGCAACTACCATCGTCATGTGACAGAAAATGGACAGTTACCGTACTCCAACGTTTTGTTAATTGAGGCTTGTTTAGAGTTTCATTAATAACTTTGACCTTTTTTTTTTATGAAATCAATTTTATGATCAATTACCATAATTGATTGAGCTTTTACTGATGTGACTTATATTTAAAATTTTTAATTTCACATTCTTGACACTGAAGTGACGGTTAAATAATTATTTCAAATTTATCGAATTTATTATTCTACAACTTAAATAGGTAGGTACTTGAGAATTTCTGATATATCGCCTGTATACCTTCAACGTTTAACCTTCGATTTCATACAGTTTTAATTTGATTTTACTGGCAGAAGCTGACCATATTTATCCATTACATTGGTGGATCTAATTGAGGGTTAATCTATACCCATTGATTTTATTTATTATATTTTACCAGCAACTATTTTTTTTACTGCTTGATTGATTTTCAACCTCACTGTGAATCTGATATCACCGCAGAAATATACACTAATTTAATTTGGAAATTACTTGATTGTTCTATTGGTTTTACCTATGTCAAGACTTGGTTGAGTTGTATGCCTAATTTATCATCAATAACCTTTTTCTAATTATTTTTCTTAGATGTGTTTCTGAATTTTCACACTTCAATATTTTACTTAATTTAATTATTTACTTTCACAAATTGAGTGGCGCTCTTGCCACTCTGTACTTATTTAACTATTGACCCACCCCTAATAATAATATTCATTCTAATTAATTCGGTAACAAAAGGAGTTACAAATATCTGAGACGTATTCCCAGCTTTATTATTTATCGATAGCGAATAAAAATGCTTTATAAGCATCGGCCCATCAGTTCTAGTTTTATACTCTCGATGAGCTTGATTCTAGTTGCCGTCAGGCCCCAGCAAGAAAAAAATAGTCACGGGCAGTACATGTTCTTCGTGGTCAGCAGAGCGACAGCGGATCTGTTGTAAATCAGCTTCGACCACTAACTCCTCAGCCTTTTAACTTTTCGACCCACGGTTCTTGTATCAAGGCACCACCACGATCACAGCTAAAAGGGCTGCCGAGGCCGACTTAAACTACCCTTATCTAATCGTAAATTTGCTTCCTGCCAATAGCCTTCAGCTCGGAAGTTAAACTTTCTTCTGTATATCTTTCGACTCAGCAAAGGCACAGAAACCTAGACCTTGTTGGTATATCGGGCAGCAATCCTCAGTTGTGCGCCGTCCCAAAATTGACCTAAAGATTCTACGCTACTCCTGAGCTAGTCTGCTGTGTGTTGATTAGAACAGATCATCCATAGAATAATTTTTTAATTGAATGTGTAGGTCTGCTGCAGCTTATTGGAGGAGCAGTAAACATCGCATCCACTAGTGTATTTTCAACAAGGTTAGCCTGCTGAGCCTGTGTCGCGTTCATAAATCACCGCTCGCCAAATATCTCTAGCCGCGTCGCTGTAGGATACAATCTTAGCGCCTGTGTTTTTCTATGGCGTGTGCGACTCCGGTCTTGACCACCGTCTTTTTCCCTTTTTTAGGAGATTGAGTTGCAGTCACCATTCCTGCAGACAACTTTTTCTCCTTCATGCGCCTCTTTGTTTAGCATATACTGTATCCTCTCTAGAAGCTGATGGTCAGTATCCTTTGGATTCATCGGCTGATGTTTTTGGTACGGAGTCGTCTCGTCTGTAGGTGAGGTGCTCCGTGGTTTGGGTAATAAAAGTTTGCTACTGGAGCTTCTCTGATGGTTATGGTGAGTAGGTCCGGGTCGCGTTAAGCCAAACCCCTGTGTAGTACAGAGCGCGCCGATTAGAAGATGCTCTGTATCACTCAGGGGTTTGTTTTTGATTACGCTGGGTCGTGTCGAACAAACCCCTGTATAGTACAGAGCGCGCGGTCCAGAAGATGCCAGTGTTGCCAGAGGTAGCACAATTGTACCAGATTTGGTACCATTCGCTTCGAAAAAGTACGCTGGTACGACGTTGGCATATTTAGTACAATTTACATTTTTTTTTTTTTTTTCAAATTCTCAGAGTCTCAGCCTACTGCCGGCTTAGTCTAATGTCGATATTCTAATTAATTTGTATTTCTGTATCTAAATTCGATATAACAATAATTTCTGATTTGTAAATATATGGCGCCAACCAGGGCCGGCCCTACCATAAGGCGAACTGAGCGAGCGCTCCAGGCGCCAGACCTCGGGGGGCGCCTTCGACTCGTTCCTTGGTAATACAAAAAAAGGGAGAAGTATATTTTCGCTTTGAATTCTGTCTCTGCTTTTCGATATCATGCTTCTCTGCTTGTGAGCAAGCTTGTGCTTACTTAGGGCGGGTATTATAAAACTACCTTGAGAGTTAACTTAAAGTTAACTTCTTGAATTACATGTAATTCAAAAAGTTAACTTTAAGTTAACTGTCAGAGCAGTTTTATAATACCCACCCTTAGTATGAGAATAACCTGTCCTGACGTTTTTTTGAGACGCGCACGGATCGTGGGTGTGGTGGCGCCCTTACCCCATCATTTGATCACGATATTTTGGATAGTGATAACAGTCACCCGAAAGCAGTCCTTCAGGCGTTAGCATTTAATAATTGGCAAGATACGTTTCCTTATATCTGGACAGCTCTCCGTATTTTTGTTACCATTCCTGTTACAGTGCCGAAAGGTGAACGGAGCTTTAGTAAGCTTAAGGGCGGGTATTATAAAACTGCTTTGAAAGTTAACTTGAAGTTAACTTTTTGAATAACATGTAATTCCAGAAGTTAACTTCAAGTTAACTGTCAAAGCAGTTTTATAATACCCACCCTAAGTTAATTAAAACTTACCTTAGCGGTCAACTCTAGCAGAAGAGAAACCTTCAGATCTAGCCCTGCTGTCCATTGAAAATGTTATAGCTCAGATATTGTCATATGAGGAGATCATAAATAAATTTGCTAATGCAAAAGTATGCAAACACACAAAAATTTCGTATTTTGTTTGTTCGATTTTTATATTTATTAGGCCCGGTTTATTTATATTCAGATAAACAACCAATGGAATTAGAGATTGCATTTTTATCGGTCGGTCAGATTGCATACCTGACAGTTTATCAGAAGGTGAATAAACCGGCCCTAATGGCCGTTTCCACAAACTAGAAAGTTCTCGTGCGTCAGATGCTACGCTAATACGGTACCTACCGCTAACAATACGGTATTTTACATGGTATTTTATAGTTCTCGAGCACGAAGACACATAAATCCTCTAATCCCTTATTCTGTTTACATTTTGACAGCTGAGTTGAGTAATCTAACCCCACTTTTTTTGCTTGTTTTCTAACTTTTATTTATTCTGAAGATTCCTGAGCTTGAATAATTTTCCCTTGGTGTTTTTTATGGAGGAATTCTTAGAAGTTGCTGTTTTTGCAGACATAAATGGAGCGTAAACTAGTTTTGACAGAGCATAGCGTTACAGTAAGGCATCCGGTAAGTTCCGTTAAATAGCGGGCTCCGCTAACGCTTATACCGTAACAACTGTTATACTTGTCAAGCGTTGTCAGCGTTACGGTATTTGAAATTTGAACGGCCCGAGAACTCTCTACTATTACGATAAGTATTTCCTAAACTGACATTTCTCCATGGAAAACTGTCAGTCTAGGGAATACTTATCGTTTAAGGCTTCCCGAAAATAACTAGTTGGTGGAAATGGCCATAAGTGTTATAAGTGATATTACCAAAGTGGATTATTGATTGATCCCATCAAAGAATGTGAACTAAATGTTAGTAAATAAGAGAACTTTGTACCAACGAACAGAAATGTTTTGA